TGGCCTACATCTTGAGCTTTGAGAAATAACGATCAACTTGGAACAGAGCTGATAATGGGCAGTCAACATATTTGCATACGTCTATAATATAAAAAAACGTCCAGATTAACCTAATTCTGTAGGGCATTACGAGACACACCCGAGGCGCTTTGAAGTCGTTGTTCCCTGTTTTTCGAACACGATAACAATCATTTGCGATGGCACAGTGGTCCTGAGTAACCGCTCGTTCGTATCCTATAGCAACCGTTATTATAACAACGAACTCTAATGAATCAGTTTCAAAGCAATATCAGACTCGATTATAAGCACGATGCGTACCTAAAAACGTACGCTTGTTATTCTTTGTATAAGCTGCTACGAAAATGCGTTTATCTGTTTTGAGCTTCGTTGGATTTGAGGGCTATTGTACGAAGGGTTAAATGACCAATTTACTAACGTCACTTCCTATCTTGCCTGTCTTACAAAAAATTGATTTTTCCTAAATTCTTTTCTTATCTAGCCTTGCCCAGTATGCAAATTACTTAGCAGATGAAACTAATCGAAAGTAAGGTTAATATTAACGATTCGTAAATATCTGCTGAATGATAATATACGCGGCTCTTACGTTGTGCGTGATTTCTTTTTTACTGACCTCTTTATTAGGAATGATATGCTCCTATAACACCGAAGTAAATGTATCGCTCCTCGAAGAACTGAGATGTCTAGTTATTGAAGGCGTTTGTCTAGTTGAAGAAAAGAACAAGACTGGTAGTTTGCGATATAAAAAAAAGCTGCTTTCTCTTGGCAGGTCTTATTTAAAGTTTGGTCGTAAAGCTACTCCGCACATTAGCTGTAGCAAATCCCAAAAATAGTCCAGTTCATTTTCTAGTTGTGATGGACAAACGCTGGACATTTTAAACATGAAATTATAAGAACTCTCCTCAGGAAGCTTTCCATCATTGCCCTTGGTTTTGTGACGTCGTAAAGACTGATCTGATCATTACAAACCCCCGCGTACATCTAACATAACGCTTAGACAATCAATCGTATTTCTTCGGAACAAATCCCTATCACAGTCTACGCAGACTACATAAAGGGCAAGCACAAGGTCTTTACATGTGCGTAACTTCGACTATTTCGATCCTAGTTAGTCGCGAGCTAGCCATTTCCAAGTGGAGTAAGTTATTAGCAAACATCGTCTAAAGGGGAAACTTTCCTGTTGAAGGAATGCTACCATCCGGCAGTTATCAACGGCTCACTTTGTAGGTAGACAGAGATCTTAGCCATTATGGATTGCTGGGAGTTCGAAAGAGGATAAGGGGAGGGTGATGTTGTTTGCGCGGGTCTCGCATGCATAGGATCGTTTCTCAGGACTAGTAGGGATAGCATAGAAATACTTCAAGCTATATACAGACCACCGGCAATGAATTTCGCGACGTGCGGCGTGACACAAGCGTATCCCGTTGTCTAGTCGCCTGCATGTACATCTGCTTCGAATGAACTTCCGTTGAATTCATTAAAATAGCCAATGACAGAAGTGCCTCATGCGCGACTTTTCTGGAAGGTTTGTTGAACAAACGTTTCAAAGCCCGATATATGACCTAGGCAAAGGTCGGAACTTTTTTGTTATAGACGTTACATTCGTAAGTACGGGAGCATGCTAGTTGGCATTAAATATATAAATACATCGCATCAATCGTCTTGGAACGGCTACGGAATGTAGCTAAATGCAGCTGGTCAACCAATTTTTTCAGAGCTGACATTTGGATCCAGTTGTACATGATTGGTTGTAAAAAAATCAGCCTAAAAGTATGGAGAGGTCGTGGAAAACTCTCAAATACCCAAACTGTGATTAGGCAATTCAAAAGATTTCGTACATTCGTGTAGCCTGTGCACGCCTCTTGTAAAGTGTACGAAATATATATAGACGGAAGCAAGAAAGAAAGAACTTTACCTGCCATCATCCTTCACTGTAGAAGGATCTTCTTGAAAAAATTGATACAGAAATCGATGTTATTACCTTTATGAAATTATTGGTTTTTTAGGTAATAGATTTGCAAGCAACGGTGGGTAACCGAACCGTAGAACGCGAACAGCTGGTCATTCAGCAACAAACAGCTAAAGAAAAAGAAAGCTCACAGTCGCATCATAAGCGCTTAGCGCACAATCCTCAACATAGCAAGGCTCAACGACGAGGACGCAGATTCACACTTGCAAGTACTAAAACACGTAGCCAATTGTAACAGTGAACACTGAGTTTCGGTCTAATATCAGCAAAACCAACAAATTCAGTGGACTGACAAATGGTGCCTCAGAGAGCGTAGGGATCCCAGTAAAAGAAAACATCGTATTCTAGTTGTGCCAAATCACGGATATCGTTAGAAACTTTCCGCACTCCGTCCATGTAGTAAAAGTATATTTGTATCACGCCCAGATTCCGCTTTCAAGCCGCAAAAGTTGTATCGAAGCCTCTTCTTATCTGCTACATGCCCAGTTGCATGCATACTACGGCTGTTTCTATGTCGAAGTACCTGACAGCAACATGCCATCAATTACCCCACTGCGTCCATGTTTGTTGAGGAGACTGAAGTGGCATACATTATCGAGACCTAGCCGATACTTTACCGCGTCATCTGCTGAAATATCGAACAGTGAATTTAAAGATATCTATGAACACCGTAGTAGACCAATCGGTGGAGGAGTCCTGATCCGAGTAAATAAGATTGCATACGGTAAAAGCATGACGAAAATCGTTGCTGATTCAGGACCGCTCGCACAAGTCGAGTGTACAGTTGTTCTTGCTAGAAGCTTGAATCAGACTGGCATAAAGTACATCGACTAAAGCTGTTTTTCCAAACAGCATTTACAAACCCAACAACGATAGCCTATCAAAACAAGAAATGTTCCTAAGTCCTTGCCGTAAAACAGGACAACAGCAGCTTGTTACCGACCCAACGAAAGGGTCTACAAACGCCATCGCAATCTGTTAAGCTTTACGCGCTACTGACCACGCAATGGTCACGTTTACAATCTCGCGCAACTCTGACTCTCAACATTAATCGTCGTTGTTCCTAAAAAGGGGGATTACGATCGCGTGATGTATACTAATCCACTAATCAGTTAGTTTTCCTCCCTTTGTCGCAATGTAGGCATGATGCCAACGAAAGCCCCCAATAGTCAGGAAAAGACTGACGCTTACACGCAGCATATTCTTCGTCAGCTTAAAACAAAACATAATAATCAAACGATCATTCCTTAACTAAATTAATCACAAAAGACGTTGGTAATGGGAGCAGAGGAGTAAAAAAGGTTGCATCGTTCAGGGTTGAAATTCACGCACAATTCACGGGTACATTCAGCGGCGCCTCAAGGTGATACATAGTCTTAATTCTATTAATAATGTTTGCTAATGATGCTGTAAAAGCGTATGTTCTCTGTAACGTTTTTAGTGCCCGAGGAAATTAGTCATCGTGCCCTTAGCGTTCATCGATGTTCCAAAAAAGTCTGCATATGGTAAACAACCCCGATACCTCGCCAGTTGACCTCGAGCCTTAGTTAAATGAACGAGCAATCCAGCAAAGCGAGACATCTGACGGAATATCCCTAAGAAAAACACCGGGGGAGTGAAGTTTCCAAGCTGTTTCAAACTGTTATCGTCAGCTCAGCCTGATCTCAGTAAAAAAAAGTATAATGTCCTGCGACAATACAAATAGCTAAGGCCCGACCTAGAAGGGGCAGTTCGCGTATCGGCCGAAACACTTTGTCGTCATACAACTGCCAGACACAAAAGAACTGGATATTCGCAATGAATGCCACTAGTGTGCAGGATGGCCGGCTGGATATTGGTACCAGGAGGCACTACAGATATATATTGGGTTCTGTTTACGTGTGCAAAGATTGTACCAAGCGCACGGGTCAGCAGCACCGGTGTTTCCCTTGGATTCGAAAGAGGTCAAGCCGCAATGCTTGGATAACATTGTCATATTGATTTTTCCATTTTGATAAATATGAATATCATTTGTTTTTATTTTTCTAAGTGTAATTGATAAATATCTATGTTTTCCGGTATCTATATATATAACGTTATTGTTGTTTCAGATACGCGTGTGTTTAAACGTTCGAGCGTCGTGTGATTTGCTTATTACGTTGACATATCCGTTGATAGGAACATACATCCGATTTTGAGAAGATAAGACACAGCTGTCACATTAGAATCGAGAGCTTTGTTTTGCGACTTACTTATAGCACGATCATTCGAGACTAGTAGTTTTTTTTAACTAACGTGTATAATCCACGAAGGGTGACGACGATCTCAGCTCCTCATTGCTAAAATGAGCCTGCTTGAGTTAGCATTGTAAGCAATTTTTGCTTCTTTTTTGTCAGGCTTCTTACTTGGGATGTATATGGGTCAGTCGGTTGCAAGTGCCCGCGGAGCAATATGCTTATTTGATGGTCGCTACCTGCCTTAATAGTTTACTAATTGAAACAAACGCAAACAAGTTCATATTTTCTATATTATTTTGGTACTAGCTTGCTGCTCATTCGATAACGTTAACTAATAAAGACATTATTTCTGTTAGGCTTTATTGACACGTCCGCAAAAGCGCGGTTCACGGCAGTGCATCACTTGAGCAATGCCTTTGAATCCAAAATAGTAGCTTGCTGGTAAGTTATTTGTAGTTAGAACTTAACAGGTTGCCTATTATTTGCCAAAAACAGAATTTCTTCTATAAGATCACAACATGTGTAAGTACGCAATGAACTATCCGCAAAGCAAGCTAATGATAAAAACCGATATACAGGTAAGTGTATGTAGCGAAGGGAATCAACGAAAGGCTTTTTTGGAACCATTGCACTTTGTCGTTTTACGGGTATGGCTATATAGCACACCTAAATCTCCTTGATGGTGAAACATCTAGAATCGATAACCGATCCTAGAACCACTGTGCCTGTATAAAACCTTTAACCAAAGGTGACTGCTCGGCCGCCTCAGTCGTTTGTCCTGTTAGAAGTGTGTATGAATACCTAATGAAGTAGTGCTCAGCAGTTAGCGCCATTACCATCATTACCTTCCCTCCCAGGACAAGATGCAAGATTATGATTCTTAACCTAATATCAGAGAGCATCGTTAGATACAGACGTTGACGGTATCACGTTTTTCACCTACACAAAACGGGGTAGGTCTAGGCACATAGTCAAGCGGGCTGCGTTTGGCCTCACGTTAGGGTGGATTACCTTGGTGTGCTGTTTACTCTGCGGCAAGATTGCATAAAGGCTTAGATATTGCATAACATAAAGCCGCAATTTAATCCTTGCAGATTTCTCCCGACGGCCGAGATTATAGTTCTTGCTGGCGATAGCATCAACTACGTTGCAAACGCCCGTTCGTAGGAAATGTTTTCGTTGAAATTGCCGGAAATCTTTCCGCTCTACTGCAGCGGAAGCATTTCTAATGCCGCAAGAGATATCATCAAGGGAAGATTACCAGTAGTCTCCAACATGAAGATCTGCATTCTAGAAGACAATCTAGGATTAGGTGAGGATGACGCCTTTAAGAAAGGACGCCTTCGCCTGCTTCCCTTGAGTCTAATCGCGTTAACACAAAGCTCTTCATCAACCAAAAAGATCAAGTGAGTGAATCTAAGTGGCAAAAAATATGTGCGCCTGTAGAAATATGAAGTTTGCTACTGTGTCCGATGTGATTTGACCAACTATAGAAGTTTATTATTTAGTTCAGGTTTATTATTAAGGTGTTAATCTGTTAAAATGGAAGTGCTTAAGGTTTGATTCTGCTGATGAACTTAACTTGATTACTAATCAATTTGAGCGCAATACAGTTACTTTCTATAAATAGTAGGCAGCGGTACTTTCCAAACACACAATTCGTCATAGCAACGGTTATCTAAATATGGATCGATAACCGTATAGATAAACAAAATAGGCAAAATGGCGTGCATAGATCCAAGGCCGATTTTTTTTAAGGAGCTAGCGCCTAGCTGTTCGCTGACAAATATTTCAGGACTTGAAAACCGTTGTGTAAAGCACGTGATCACCAAACGTACTAAATGTTGTTTTTTATAAATATTGATGAAAAAATGAAATGACAAATCATCATCAGGCTCCTATTCTTTATCGGTTGATCAGACAACAATCACAAAAGCGATGTCTCTGAAGTAACGTCGAAGAAGTACCGCTACGCCTAGCTAGCGTTTCTCAATATCAGGGCAGATCGAGGCGAAACGTGTTCGATATGTTATACTGTATGTATATAGTAACCAGGAACATAGTTTCGGGCTATTCATACGGTGCCATGTAATATTCTCGGGCTTCATACTCTACTGATTTTTTTATGAGCTTCTATTATTTATTGCAAACGGAATAATCTACATAAAGGATAAATCGAGGTATTTATGATAGGTTATCTTTACCCCTGGCTGAGGTTTCACGCTCGCCGCACCGGCTAGCTTATCTTAAATGTAACGGCTGTTGTAGCACGAAGACGAGCCGTGAGCTTTTGCAGTTAGTCATTTTGATTCAATACGGTATAGCATCGTAGCATCGTTACTGGACGAAGGGGAGCAAAATTTGTCTTCCGATACGCGTTAACGGGAAAAACTGAAGCTTCGGAGCTTAGCGATGCTATGAAACACACAATGTTTGCATGACTACTCTCTAGATACATATCTACAAATACGCTCACCGAAAATATCATTGATAAAAGCTTCTGTCGCCACGTTACATTGTCAACGGCCTATGATTCATTAGTTCAAGTGTACCGTGTGAATAACTGCTAGGTAAAGAAACCCTCGTTGAAGTTGGCCCAGTTTAGGGTGAACTTATGGCCAGCGCGGTGCATCAACTCACCGTAACAACTTACTTATCTCCCGGTATGTTCAACAAAAAACTTCGCCTTGGTTTCTATATGTGTTAAGCAATTATCCTCTGTCTACATGCGAGCGCTTTCGTCTGGACGCTACTTCGATTAAAGAAAACTTTTTTTACACCAGGTGGGCAGTGTGATTCTAATGCACAATGCAAACAAAGGAAGATGTTTATAAAACAAATATACTAACAGTATACATTTGAAACAGCGAAAACATGACTAATAGGACGACCATCTGATAAAATAACTTATGTTATGGTGAAGTGGATTCACGTATCATCCAAGTTTTGCCTTTCATTACTATCCATAAATTATATGATGATCTTTAAGCCAAAGTATATCCTTGCACCCGTAGCTTCACTTGATGTAGCATCAAGATATTTGCATATCGGAAGCGGCCGGTTTTCGACGACTTTGTTGGTATCTGAGAAATACGGCTGCCTTATTTTCAAAAGGTAAGCGCTACGAATCGTGAAATATGCTTGGTGTAATAAACCTTTTGTGATGGAATCATCGGTTAGGTAATCTTAAAGCCACGGATCTACTCTGTCTGAAATGAAAGAGAGGTTACATACGTTTCTTCTATCTTTAACATCACGAATACGCATTTATTAGAAACCGATGGAGCTAAGCAAGGTAGGCAGAACAGCGGCCACTGACACTTCGGCGGGTCGCCCCTTACCTATGTTAACCAATTTCCGTACCTGTGGTTGCTCGTTCTAGCGAACGGCAGAAGCTCCACTGCACACCTCACCAAAAAATACAGAAAAGCAATTTTATTTATGGCAATGGCGCTCAGCTTGCTCCGCCTCAAAATGGCTCCAATCGCAACGTGAATGAAATACGTGTCATTTGGAAAGAGCCTACAACAGAGGACCTTGAATAATTAAATTGCATTATAGTCCCGTTCCTTAAAAGAGAACTGGGACCACACATAGTAACCCGAAATCGTCTTATGTATCTCCTAGGCGACTCGCCATTGCTGTCCGAGCGCTTACGGCATCGTTTTGAGCTCCCAGTAAGGAAAGTTTTCAGGACGAATCTTTGGGGGTACAACAAACAAAAATTTGTGGAGATTTCTTTGCTTTGGGTGCTATAAGTAGAGCGGTTGTAAGTAAAGTCCACAGCAACGGTTAGAAACGGACGAACTGGCTAACGAGCCACAACTTCACTTGCTTTGTTGTTACCATGGAAAGAGGTAGATTTTCACGAGCCTAACGTTGCATAGAGATGTTCCGGCAAAATTACGCTTGGTACCACACTGCTCGTCGCTCTGCCGCTTTCTGGTACGGTTCTTAGGACATCTGGCAGACCTTTCAAATTAGTTGTATGATTTCAAATGGTTTTGTATATACATCTTTTCCTATACTGGAACGTTATATTGTCGACCTGTTTGAAGTCTTCTTCAACTTCTACCAACAAAGCTAAATAAAAATTTTATTAAACTAAGTAATCATCTAGTTCAAGTAATACGGTACGTTTCTATAGTTGTAATAAAATATCCTGGCTACGTTGCAAAATAACGAAGCCACAAAGACGGTTACGAGTATCCAAAGCGGCCAATCATTTCGACAAAATTGGATTTGTGCCTAGTTTTCCCAAAATCAGTTTTGAGGTCGGCTAAGTTACAGATTGTTACATGTTTATTCAATAGTTATAGATATAGAGTTAATCGTAATGTATATCTACTCGTGTGTGTTGAATATTTATGGCCCATTACAATCGGTTTCCGCTCAAGAAACTGGGCACGTTTCTATTTCCTAAAGCTGGTGGAACTGATATCGCTGTTCCTATCTTATGCGTGTATGTATACGGTTATCATAAGAATATAAAGATGGCTTCATTAGTATTCGCCGAGACCTTCTAGGTCTTAGGCGGAATCCCAAGATTCTTTGTATTATTATGCTTACAGAACCTTCGTATTGTACCGGACAGATCATTTTATAGCGATTGATCGATGTTACTACAATTCACTGGTAGTGCGGGATCATTTTCCACAAAATCATATATTTTATTATAATCTGTAACACTTTTCTGTGTTAGGTTTAGCAGATTAGCGTCACACAAAATCCGGCAGCTTTGTTGCCCTCGTAATGAGATCGACTTGTCTACCTAGCGCAAATGACAGTGCCTGTCTTTTGCAGGCTCAATTGACGATCTGTATGAAAACAAAGAAGCTGCAACGTTAACAAATTATTCTATATAGCAATCAAAATGGGTGACATAGTTATCAAATAAAATAATACAATTTTTCACAACGCGAGAGGCACCACTTCGCCTTCGCACAGATAAGGTCGCTAGGTGTATTACATATGCTAAACCTCGTTTGGTAAATAAGCAAACGTGTGCACACAAATGACACAATATCTTGAATTCGTCATGAGGAGTTGGGCCGAAGTCAAACTTAGCGATCTGTTATCAATGGCAGATCCCAGTGCTTTTGCTTTTTCTTTGTATTAGTACTCCCACTGTTACCTTTTCCGGCTCTTCTAGATTCCACATCGGCTTGCTTTTTCCATAGCTGCCAAAACGCGGCTTTCTCGTCACGGTACAAAAATCCTTGAAGTGACAATGTAGTTCTAGCTTCGTTGCTAGACGTTGATCGATGAGAGTTGACTCTGGCGTTTGCAGTCGCCACATGATGCGTACTTCAGGCATCAACGGCCCAAGCAGGGACGGTTGAAACAGCTAGAAACCGTATGCGAACGGAAATGAATCTGTCTGTCCGGCAAATGTCGCAACGTAGACTGCCCCAAACTAGGATGCCAGCAATGCAAAGAGAAGGACGAAGATGCGACGGCAGCGACGCTGATGCCGTTGGAGGGTGTCACATAATCCTGACTCATGTGGAATTACGACTAGAGGTGAATCAGCTGGAGAGGATATGGGGGCAAGTTGACACTGCTATTTCGGTTGAGCCCAGCTGCGTAGCTGTTTGCGGAACTAGAAAGTTCTGTTGAACTGTGTGGAACAGAGAGATATTTGCTTAGCGACAGCGAAAGTTAAGGGGAAACAGAATATACACTAGTGTTGTACCGTGCGTTTTAGTGTATACAGATATTCGGAGAGTTGAAGTAAAAAGAAAGTGAAAAGGATTTTAGCAGTGTGAAAGAGTTTTTGTTGCCACGAAGCCCATCTATTATGCTTAATCACTGTAGATCAAGTAGGGTTAACCTTGTTATTCAGTACTTTTTGTTATTTGTCTCTGACTTCTTTTCAAGCCACTTGACCTAATTAGTAAGTCCTGAGGGATTTTTGCCGTCGGGCCTTTTTGAATGTGTATGCACAAGAGCCGTCATACAGTATTTTTGGGTACGCAAAGAATATGCTTATTCAGGAAACTCTGGAAACGGTGTGCGTATGTATTATCTTCATAAACGTGTTTAAAATATTCATGTGAAAACTCCGGCTTTTTTGCCATCTTTCAATTGTTAGAATAAAAACCTAATCATAAGGCTTACATTATTTATACTGAGTATGCGTCGAGAGGAATCTTACACTGCAGCATATCGGTGCAGGCGGGCAAAGAGAACGTCCTTCAGGTCTGGGAAAGGGCTATAATTAGCATGTTCAGCTCTTTCTTAAGAACAAAAAACTCACAAAAGTGGCAGGCTGGGTAGTGCGGCATGCAATAAACACCGATATGTACCTAGCTAGAAATGGTTTTTAGACCTAGATTTGCAAATTATATCGTCTCACAAACTACATACACACGGCACGACCCCAGATTACTTACACCATATAAGA